TTTACTGAGGTCTTGCTGCCATGGAGTTGATTCCATCCTCTCTAGAATTTCTTCTGAGATTGCTCACAAGGTCTACTCCTTTCTTTCATTGAGTCATTCAACATGGTCTCTTCTTGGGTTTTACTAAACACAAGGTGCTGCTCTACCTTCCGTGCCGCTGGAATCTCTGAACAAAGGGTTTTGAAAGCCTGGCTGTTTGACTGGAAATCGAAGGGAGGGATGGAAATAGAAGGGTGTGAGTGACATAGGAAAAACGTGAATTAGTGTTCCAAAAACTAGCCCCAAGAGGAAATATAAAGTGCCAAATGTCAATAAGTATGGTTGCTTGGAGTGTGCTTGGAGTGATTTGAAAATTTCATGAAGATGAGACTTGAACTGAGCCTTAAAGAATGGGTAGAATTCATCATAAATGATGGTGTCTGTTGTGCTTCTGTATCTAAGGCAGTACCTTCATGTGTATATTGTTGGGTGGTGGTGACACATGCATGAGTCAGGGGCGTGTGTGGCATGTTTGGGAGTGAGTGTGTGGTGTGTGTGTTTGTGACAGGAAGGAGATGAGAGTTTGTACTGTTGCAGAAGAGCCTCAGAAAGAGAATTATGGAACAATCAGCTGGATGGATTTAGAAAGGGAAGATGCTTAGAAGGCTTTTATAGTAGTTCTGACCTGAACTGGAAAAGGATTGATGGCAGTGGGAATGAGAAGACAGTGATTGGGTAGAAACCGCTAGAAAGAATCTGTGGGGAGAAGGCAGAATTTAAGGTGATTCTGAGTTCTCTGCTGGGTGCAGAGGTATTAATAGTGTCATTAATGGAAACTGGAAAAGTCAAGATAGAAGTTTGTTGTGAGAAGAAGATAAGGAGTTAAATGGATGATTTGATAACCTGTTGGAGCCCTGAAACGAGGTTAGATTTGTAGATAAAGGGTTTACCATATCATTGATCTTCACGATCCTGCTCTAGACTGGTTGTTTTTCCTGTTGACTATTGTGAAGAAGACAGTGATGAAAGAATAACTGATGAGAAAAGAGGAGATGAGTATGTGCGATATTTTGGCTTAAGTATTTAAAAATTTTTTATTTACAGAAATTTTATAATTCAAAATTACTTTGTAACATTTTAAAAGCCTGAAAATTTAGCATGCTTGGAAAATCCTTTTTAGTTTTAGCTTTCATCTTTATATCCCTAAGACGTTCTCTGAGCATTTGTAAATCTCCACAGGTTTATATTAATAATCTCCACAGGTTTATATTAATATACCTCATTCAGATGCCTGCTGGCTGTTTCACAAACCTGAAAGAGATACAGCATGTAAGTCAACCTGGTTTGAAGCACCCAATCTTTTTCATATCTAAACAATTCTCTGAGCATTTATGCATCTCCAGGTTATATCAGCAATCTCACAGTTCTGTAATCTCACAGTTATAATAATACAATAATACAAATCTCCACAGGTTTATATTAATAATCTCCACAGGTTTATATTAATAAGCTAATAAGTATAAATTTGTATTAATAAAACTAATACAAATCTTTAAGGCTGCTTTTTTTTGTTGTTTGAGACGGAGTCTCGCTTTGCCGCCCAGGCTGGAGTGCAGTGGTGCAATCTCTGCTCACTACAACCTACGTAGACCTCCCAGATTCAAGCAGTTTTCCTGCCTCAGCCTCCTGAGTAGCTGAGTAGTATAACTTCTCATCATTTGAAACTACTGGCAGTTGAGCTTATCTCAGTTTGTTTCTTGAGTTTGCACTTGAAGGGAATTCTTTCTTTCTTTCTTTTTTTTTTTTTTTGAGATGGAGTTTCGCTCTTGTTGCCCATGCTGGAGTGCTGTGCCACAATCTCGGCTCACTGCAACCTCCGCCTCCTGGGTTCAAGCGATTCTCTTGCCTCAGCCTCCCGAGTAACTGGGATTATAGGAACCCACCACCATGCCCAGCAATTTTTGTGTTTTTGGTAAGATGAGGTTTCACCATGTTGGCCAGGCTGGTCTTGAACTCCTGACCTCAAGTGATCCACCCACCTCAGCCTCCCAAAGTGCTGGGATTACAGGCGTGAGCCATTGCACCCAGCCGAGAATTATTTCACTTCCTCAGTTCTTCAGATTGTTTAGTAGATGGTTGGGGAAATTTGTAGTGTAGCTACAATTTTGAGGAATTGACTTCAGTATAAATATAATTCTTATACAGTGTTTAGTATTGTTTCACAAATATTAAACATGACAGTATAAAAAATGTTCAATTACATAAGTCCCTTTCCACTGCCTGCTATTAGTACATACACCATAATACTTGTGCACTCTTATTATTATCTGAATTGGAAAGTATATAATTAAAAACAGTTATGAATTTAGTACTTGTAAATTTAGCACTAGTAAATGGTTGATATATTTAAGAGACATTATTCATTCTACAGGCAGAGCTTGATGCACAAATGGATTCCTGGTCTCCTTGGTCCACAGGATGGAAACTGTTGGTATTGCATTTGAACCAAGGAATATTTGTCTTAAGAGTAGCAGTTTTGTCTAGTTCTCCTTAATGAAGGCCCAGATTATGTAGATTTTATTGTGGTTTTATTTTGCCAATTAATTGAAATTTGAGTCCTTGGATAGAATTTGCAAATCTGCTTTGCATGCAGAATTAAACTTGTAAACTAAATTTACTTGGGTGTATGAATGTTTAATACTTAAAGTGATATTTAGTAAGTTTTATTTCAAGGTAGAGTATTAATTTTAGAGCTGGCTACTTTGGAAATAATTTTATGTACTTTTTGGAATGTTTTGACATCTGGAAAAAGTATCCTCTGTTAATTTCTTCATAGTACTGCAAACACACACACACACACACACACAGTTCAGTTGATGTTATCCTTACTCTTTAGTTCTGTTTACTAATTACCACAGGTAGAAATAGCTGTCTCAGATAATCTTCAGTGAATTTTTTTTCTTTTTTTTGTGTGTTTTTGTTTTTTTGAGACAAGGTCTCACTCTGAGTACAATGGTATGATCATGGCTCACTGCAGCCTTAACCGCCCTGGGCTGAAGCGATCCTCCTGCTTCAGCTTCCTGAGTAGCTGGGACTACAGGCATGTGTCACCACCCTTGGCTAATTTTTGTATTTTTTTGAAGAGATGGGGTTTTGCCATGTTGCCCAGGCTGGTGTCAAACTCTTGGATTCAAGCAATCCAGCTACCTAGGCCTCCTGTGCTGCGATTATAGGTGTGAGTGCCCAGCCACTCTTCAATGAATTTTACCTTGCAGTTGCTAAACAACATTCCTACAATGTTTCAAGTTCCCTTAGAGTGAAGACTATACATCATTACATTTTTTTTTCTTTGTTTTTCCTTGAGACAGTCTTGCTCTGTCATGGCAGGCTGAAGCACAGTAGCACAATCATAATTCACTGTGGTCTTGAACTCCTGTGCTCAAATTGAGCCTCCTTGGCCTCCTGAGTAGCCGGGACTATAGGCACAGGCCACTGCACCTGGCTAATTAAACAATAATTTTTTTTGTTTGGATGGGCATAGTGGCTCATGTAATCCCAGCTCTTTGGGACGCTGAGGCAGATGGATCACTTGAGCCCAGGAGTTTGAGACCAGCCTGGCCAACAAGGTGAAACTCCGTCTCTACTGAAAATTAAAAAATTGGCTGGGCATGGTGGGATGCTCCTGTAGTCCCAGCTACTCAGGAGGCTGAGGCAGGAGATTCACTTGAACCCGGGAGGTGGAGGCTGCAGTGAGCCAAGATCGTGCCACTGCACTCCAGGTTGGGTGACAGAGCGAGACTGTCTCAACAACAACAAAAATTGTGTGTGTGTGTTTTTTTTTTTCCTTTTTTGTAGTGATGGAATCTTGCTATGTTGCCCAGGTTGGTCTTGAATCCTGGGCTCAAGTGATCCTCCCACCTCATTCTCCCAAAGTACTGGGATTATAGACTTGAGCCACCATACTTATTATCTAATATAAGGCACATCTCTTAAAACTCTTAAGCTTGGTTTTGGTATTGCTCAATTACCTGGATTTTCAGAGGTTGGTGGGCTAATTAGGCAGCTATCTGTCCGTTATTTTACCAGTCATTTATGACAGTGATTATTTTTTATGGCAATTTTTTGTTTGTTTTTTAAATCAGCCTAGACATTTAAATATATTATGCCAGTATATTAGTTACATGAAGATTAGCTAAGATAATGTAAGGTTATGGGCTCTTTAGTTGGGCCTACAAACATAGTAAGACTTATCAAAACAAGTATGGATTTTGAATGTGAATATTTTAAAAGATATATTGAAATTACTTAGAGTAGCCCTGGATATATGTTCATTATGGATGGCATTTATCTTGTTAATAAGTTTCTACATGCTCATTTTAATTTTCGCTAGCATGAGCAAATAACTTATTATATTTCGTTCCTGAGAAACTAAAAGAATCTGCCTAAGGAGTATGAAAATTGCCATTAAATCTGTATTGTCTACTTTCTGGATGCTTATATGATTATAGTTCTCTGCTCTTCCACACATTTTTGGGCTGCTATCAGGTTGTAAGTAATCATTATACAAACTAATTTTAAAAATTTAAGCAAGATAATTTTATATTCCTTGGATCAGGGAAAAAAATGCAGTTGCTGAAGGTGGTTTCATAGCTAAATATAAGCAATTATTTTGCTTTTTCTACTTTTTTGGATTTTATCATCTTTTCCCTTTTAGTAATAGAAGTAATACAGGCAGGAATTAACTTAGCACTGCCAAATTAATGGTAATACTAGACCTTTGTACACAGCACAGGATTAAGGTTATATAGAAAAATGTCTCATCCGTGTTTAATTTGGCTGACCAGCTCAGTTGATTAGCCAGTTTTATTGTTCTGTTAAATTAAAATTCTAAATATAGTTGTCCATTGTTCAAATAAATGAGTAGGGTTAAAATAGAGAATTGATAAAAATAAAGCCTTAAAAAAACCTTTTAGCTAAAGTAGCAGGCTTCAAGTGAAATTCAGTTTTGGTCTCCTTTACAGGAATAGCTATTCACAGTCAGACAGAACCACTTATCACGTTTTGCAGTATCTCCTGAGGAAGTCAGAATCTGAGCCAGCATGAAGACGGAATCTTGTCTTCGATCTGATTTGCAAACCGTACTTTTATTCTAATCATGTGCAAGGTGGAGGTTATAGCGTGGGAACTAAAATCTTAGTAAGTGTGGTTTTTATTTTAGCTATTAAATAGTGTATATTCTTATAGTGATTTTTTTTTCTTCTTAGCAGAGTTCACACTATAAATGGTGTATGGACTTGGCAGGCAGGAACATAATACAGTATACTTCAAAAGTGAAAGATTTAGGCTAGGCGCGGTGGTTCATGCTTGTAATCCTAGCACTTTGGGAGGTCGAGGTGGGTGGATCACGAGGTCAGGAGTTGAAGAGAAGCCTGGCCAAGATGCTGAAACACCATCTCTACTAAAAATATAAAAATTAGCCGGGCATGGTGGCACGCGCCTGTACTCCCAGCTACTTGGGAGGCTGAGGCAGGAGAATCGCTTGAACCTGGGAGGTGGAGGTTGCAGTGAGCTTAGATTGCACCACTCCACTGCATTCCAGCCTGGGCAAAACATAGCAAGACTCCATCTCAAAAAAACAACAACAAAAAAGGAAAGATTTAACCCTCTAGGTTCAGGAAAAATCCCTGAGAAAGAGCAAAGCTTCTGTGCTCTGCCTAGGATTTCTTTCTCTTTCCTGCTGAAAAATAGGTGTTGAGATGATACCGAGTTAATAAAAGTATTTAAGAAAAGTGGCCAGTATCTAAATTCAAGCCATTAAAAAAAAATCATTAAATTTGTTATGTAAGTTGCTTCATTTATGAATTAGTTACCATTAAATTATGAAGTCTTTCTTCATTATAGTGTAGTGTTAGCCCATTGTTGAATCCTAGGACTCTTTTAAGTAGTGTGAATGTATTTTAAATATGAATTGAATTTTTTTTTTTTTTTTTTTTTTGGTGAGGGGATGGAGCCTCGCTCTGTTGCCCAGACTAGAGTGCAGTGGTGCGATCTTGGCTCACTGCAACCTCTCCCTCCCGGATTCAAGCAGTTCTCTGTCTCAGCCTCCCGAGTAGCTGGGATTACAGGCGCCCACCACCATGCATGGCTAATTTTTGTATTTTTATAGAGACGGGGTTTCACTATTTTGGCTGGGCTCGTCTTGAACTGCTGGCCTCATGATCTACCCACCTCAGCCTCCCAAAATGCTGGGATTACGGGCGTGAGCTACGATCCCTGGCCATGAATTAGATTTTGAGTATATTTTAAATATTCAAAATTTAAAATATTTTAATTATGAACATTCACAATTACATCGGAATGATTATGCTACTAGTTATTTCAGTGACCTTCCACAGATTTAATTTTCCCCCGTACAGTCTTCTTCTTTTTGCTCCAACTAGATTTTGAGGCTACAGAATATCAAGGAACTACCTATTTCATAATGTTACTTTGTTAATTGTAGCCATTACTTCTTAAAATGTTTCTTTACTACCTGTGCTAATTAAGAACAGTGGATAATTGGCATTTTAAGCTGCTTTTCTCCCTTAGAATGATAAAATAGACATTATTTGATCTTCTGAATTCATGAATCATAATCCATGTTCATAATTTGAGAATGGTTATGTGTTTAAGCTATTATTTAGTTTGTGTTGTTTCCTCTACCTTTGTCTCTTTAAACTATTGGTTACTTTTCTAAATTGATGTGATGGCCTCCCTGAAATTAAACATTTCTATTAGTGGCTTCCCTTTAATCTCATCCTTCTTAGATCAAATCTCCTTATATTTCCTGCCTATCTCTTTTTGCATTCCAGAGTTCAATTTTATTAAATCCCAAGGTCCAAGATTTTTTCTTTTGAGAATTTATCTCCAGTGTTTCTATGGAAATCAAAAAAAAAAAAAAAATTAGGATAATTCAATGTCGAAATGTTACATGCATCTTTTGAGAATTTATATTTTGTAGGTTGAAGGGCATGCTTTTTGGGGAGCATATTTTTGGAGGTGGAATGTAGTTATTTTAATAACCATGTCCTATATTATTTATAGCTTCCTGCCTGACACAGCTCACTTCAAGAAGTGCACAATGTCAGAACGTGGAATTAAATGGGCTTGTGAATATTGTACGTATGAAAACTGGCCATCTGCAATCAAGTGTACTATGTGTCGTGCCCAAAGACCTAGTGGAACAATTATTACAGAAGATCCATTTAAAAGTGGTTCAAGTGATGTTGGTAGAGATTGGGATCCTTCCAGCACCGAAGGAGGAAGTAGTCCTTTGATATGTCCAGACTCTAGTGCAAGACCAAGGGTTAAATCTTCGTATAGCATGGAAAATGCAAATAAGTGGTCATGCCACATGTGTACATATTTGAACTGGCCAAGAGCAATCAGATGTACCCAGTGCTTATCCCAGCGTAGGACCAGGAGTCCTACAGAATCTCCTCAGTCCTCAGGATCTGGCTCAAGACCAGTTGCTTTTTCTGTTGATCCTTGTGAGGAATACAATGATAGAAATAAATTGAACACTAGGACACAGCACTGGACTTGCTCTGTTTGCACATATGAAAACTGGGCCAAGGCTAAAAGATGTGTTGTTTGTGATCACCCCAGACCTAATAACATTGAAGCAATAGAATTGGCAGAGACTGAAGAGGCTTCTTCAATAATAAATGAGCAAGACAGAGCTCGATGGAGGGGAAGTTGCAGTAGTGGTAATAGCCAGAGGAGATCACCTCCTGCTACGAAGCGAGACTCTGAAGTGAAAATGGATTTTCAGAGGATTGAATTGGCTGGTGCTGTGGGCAGCAAGGAGGAACTTGAAGTAGACTTTAAAAAACTAAAGCAAATTAAAAACAGGATGAAAAAGACTGATTGGCTCTTCCTCAATGCTTGTGTGGGTAAGTTTCTGTATTCTGCATTTTTTGAATGGGATGGGGAAAGGTAGTAAAAATGATACGAAAACAGCTGGGTGTGCTGACACATGCTTGTATTTGTAGTCTTAGCCACTTGCTTGAGACCATGAGTTTGAGGCTGTAGTATGCCATGATCTGTCTGTGAATGATACCTGCACTCTAGCTTGGGCAACATAGACTGTCTCCATGCCCACAAAAAATATGTGTGTGTGTGTGTGTGTGTGTGTGTATATATGTGTGTATGTGTATATATGTATGTGTGCGCAAAGTCACCAACATTTAATTCATTCAGCATGATAACTGTACTTTCAAGTATGCATACATAAAAATTTGTGTATCTGTGATCTTGTCATAACTTTGTACTAAATTGCCCACAATTAATTGTATTCATGTCTCTCCATTACTGGGGGCAGGGGAAACTTTTAAGTTAAAGCAAAGGTTTTACACATCAATGGTAAAATACATACCTGGACTTTAAAACTGCTACTCTGTTTATTGTAAGAAGATGTAACTGAGGAACACCAGCTGCTGTTTCCAAGTATTTGTAAACAGTGTGAGCATCTTGTGATGATAGAAGCTTTAGTCAGATGTTAAAAATACCACAAAAATGTGTGACTCCAAGAAGTTGAACAAACATATTGACCTTGAAAATACTGGTGTTAATTTAACATGAATGTCATGTAGTAAATATTTGCAAACTTTATGGAACTGATTACATGTAGCCAGCTGATTCCATACTTCAAGTTATGGTTCGTATGTATTGTGATATCTTCCTCAGGAAATACTGTTAAAGGACAGAGACATAGGAGAGCAGAGTTTTTTTTCAGTTCTTGACCTTGTGAGTTAATTGTGATGTAATTCACAAAAGCAGTGACTTGAGTCTTCAGTATTTTTTTGAGTAGATTAGATGCTTGATTTTATTAAATTATTTGGATGGGCTGCTTACTTTGACGTTCGGTCTGATTACTAAGTTTAAACTTTGTGTGGAACAATAGCTAAGCCTTAACTATACCTTAGCTGTATGTTTTCCCTCAGTACCAATTTCTTTTTTTTAATCCCTCTGGGTCCAGCCCAAGAATATGGAAGTTTTAGGTGTTTGAACCTGTGAGTCCTAAGAATTGATATCCAAGAAATTGTGAGTTTTAAAATTAATTTTTATATATATTATATATATCTTCCCCCCCCCACAAAGATGGGATCTCACTCTGTCACCCAGGCTAGAGGGCAGTGATGCAGTCATGGCTCACTGCAGCCTCAACCTCCTGGGTTCCAGTGATCTGCCACCTCAGCCTCCCCAGTAGCTGGGACTCCCTATTAGCATGTACCACTATGCCCTGCTATTGTTTTTAATTATTATTTGTAAAGATGGGGGTCTCCCTATGTTGCCCAGGCTGGTCTTGAACTTCTGGGCTCAAGCGATCCTCCCACCTCAGTCTCCTAAAGTGTTGGGATTATAGGCATAATTTGCTGTGCCCAGCTGAAATCCTGAGTTTTCAATTTTAGCTTTGTTCTGGCAAAAAAGAATATCCCAGCAGATGAATCCTTCTGACCTCCAGACATAGTAGGCACTTAGCAGCTCTTAGTTCTAGTTTCCTCCCATCCTGAGGATGAGGGATGAAAACACACCGAGCCATCTTCTGTCTGTGTTGTTCCATTTTATTCCACTAATTTTTCTGCTCCAAATTGAGGGCAACATATAGTATGATTGTCAGTTAAAAAAATTTAAATAGGAGATACAAAAGGGTTTTATTATTAGTTTCCTTACTGAGATCAAATTGATTTAACATAAAAATTCACCGTTTTGCAAGTGAACAACTCATTGGGCATTTAATGCATTCACATTGTGTAACCACTACCTCTGTGTTGTTCCAAAGCATATTCATCATCCCAAAAGGTAACTGTGTGCCCATTAAGCAGTTACTGGTCCCTACCCCTACCCGTTAATCCTTGATAACTGCCAGTCTGCTTTTGGTGTCTGTGGATTTACCTATTCTGGATATTCATATAAATGGAATCTTTACATATCTATGGGCTTTTGTGTTGGGTGTGATTGTCTTTTAATTGCTTGTATGCCTTTGGAACACTCTTAAAATTTTTTTTTTTTTTTGCAGGGAGTAGTGTACTATGAATACTTGGACTACAAGATGGTGTTATAGTACATGTAGGTTTATAGATGAAAATGAACTAGACTTCATTGTGACGGTTTTTAACCTCACAGTGAAGGTCAGTAAACCGCACTAAAGGTCATAGAATCCTTTAGGGATCAGGGCTTCACTTCAACCCCAGGTTGCTTCAAGTCAGTGGATCTCAGGATAAGAACACCTGGTTTGAAATACTTTCTGTCCTTGAAACATACAAGTTAGATGAATCAACATGTTTGTCTTTATGACATTATTTCTTCTTGATCCTGCCTTTTTCTACATATCCTTACTTCTTTAGATGACTAGCCATCCTTGTACCTCTTTGCATTTTATTTTTTTGAGTCAGGGTTGTGAGGCGGGAGTGCAGTGGCGCAGTCATGGCTCACTGCAGCCTTGACTTCCTAAGCTCAAATCATCCTCCTACCTCAGCCTCCTGAGTAGCTGGGACTATGGGCACATACCACCATACCCGGCTAATTTTTGTATTTTTTTTTGTAGAGATAGGGTTTTACCTTGTTACCCAGGCTGGTATCTTACTCCTGGGCTCAAGCGATCCACCCACCTCAGCCTCCCAGAGTGCCAGGATTACTGGGGTGAGCCCCTGGGTCCCGCCCGTCTCTTTACATTTTAATCACTGACTTCGATTTAAAAGTGGAACAAGGCCAGGCACAGTGGCTCATTTCTGTTAATCCCAGCACTTTGGGAGATTGAGGCAGGTGGATCACCTGAGGTTGGGAGTTCGAGACCAGCCTGACCCAACATGTAGAAACCTGTCTCTACTGAAAATACAAAATAGCTGGGCGTGGTAGCGCATGCCTGTAGTTCCAGCTACCCTGGAGGCTGAGGCACAAGAATCTCTTGAACCTGGGAGGTGGAGGTTGCAGTGAGCCAAGATCGCACCATTGCACTCCAGCCTGGGCGACAAGAATGAAACTCCGTCTAAAAAAAAAAAAAAAAAAGTGGAACAAAAACTTCTACCAATAGGACCAGTATTGGATTTGACCTTGTTTTATTTACAAAACGATTTGTCATTAAGTTGCTGTTTCTACCTGCAAAGTTTCTAGATTCTCAGGGCCAAGGGTTGATTGTATTTGGTTCTTGGTAATGTGGACTGTGTCTTTCCTATCAGCAGATTTTTTTTACTGTTAACTGTACGATGTCATTCTGAACTGTTATACATAAGGTTATAATTATAGGCCTGTTTCTATAGGATAGCCATATTCTGATGTGTAAACATCACTGAAATATGTTAAATACTTTTTAAAAACTTGTTTACATTGTGTTGGGTTAATTAAAAAAAAGGCTTGAGCAGTAAGACTAACAGAAGTTCACATGTACTCAAAATTAATCTTTACTTCCCTTTTCTGCCTGCCTTATGTTCCCCAGATTTCGTTAGATACAGTGTATTTTGGGTTGTTGATGTTAAGTGTTTTTTAAAAAATCCATCTCTACGCTATATACACTGAGTATAAAATGTGAGACTTTTCCATTTAAAGTTGGAAAAAAATGTCAACCTCAGGTCAGCTTTATAGCTGATAAACTAGGAATGAGGAACATCCAGTTGTTGAGAGGGCAGATGTCAGATAAGGCATCGACAGTATCGAGCAAACATATTGACATAGCCATTGGGTGTAAGTTTCACATAAGTCAAATTATCTTATGTGGTGAGAGGATGTTGGGGACAGCTGTGCCAAAACCCGACATCTGTAGTGGAATCTGAGGTTGAGAATCAGGGTGGTAAAGGTGGAGGTGTGAATGTAAATGTACAGTTGTCTCTGGAATGTCTGTAGTTGGTGCTAGATGATTTTAGGGACATCAGGTTTTTAGGGCAGTCATGTCAGCACTCACCACAGACTACTTTTCTCACTGGGTAGACAACAATGTATCTAGAGAATAGAACAACACTACCTAATGCCCTGCTTTTATTCTGCTATTGTATTGAATCAGTTGCCTTATGAAATTGCACTTCAATTTGTGTACATAGCTATGTCCTTAAAAAGACACGGGGTTAGATAAGAATACCATATTAAATCTGTGCTATAACTTGTATTCCTGAACCCTAGACTCATATATCCAGCTGCCTATTCAGCATCTTTCCTGGGGTGTTTAATAACTCAAGCTCGTTTCAAGCTCAGTGATGCTAAAACAGAACTGGTCTTTCAAATCTATTTTTTCCCAGGCTCATCATGGTTGATGGCAAATTTCTCATTCCATTGCTTGTGCCAAAAGCCTTGGCCCTCCTTGATTCTTCTTTCTCTTATGCCCCACTCCTATTTCTCAGAAGATCCATTGGCTCTACCTTCAAAATATATCTGGACTCTGATGACCACTTCTCACTATTCTTGTCCAAACCATGATCCCCCCTTGCCTTTGCCCTCCTTACAATCTGCTGTCGTCAAAGGAGCTAACTCTGCTCAGAACCCTCTAGTGATCACCTGTTTTACTTGCATTAAATAATAGCCAGAGTCCCTCAGAAACTCTACAAGGCCATCTACATGCTCTGTATTGCGCACTTCAGCTTCATTCCATATACTTTTGACCCTTGAACAACACAGGTCTGAACTGTGCAGGTTCACTTATGCTTAAGTTTTCTACCAGCTCAGCCACCCCTGAGACAGCAAGAAAACCCCTTTTCTTCCTCCTCCTCCTCAGCCTACTCAAGGTGAAGACGATGATGATGAAGTCCTTTATGATGAGCCACTTTGACTTAATGAGTTAGTAAATGTATTTTCTCTTCCTTATGATTTTCTTAATAACGTTTTCTTTTCTCTCATGTATTTCAAGAATACGGTGTATAATACATATACAAATATGTGTTATTTGACTGTTTATGCTATTAGTAAG